GTTCCCTCTTAACTGAATTAGTGTGAGCTAGCTCACAGTTATTTAGCCTCCGGCTCACACATTTTTGTCTACGCTCAGGAAGGAGGGCTCCAGAGCAGTGTTCCCTCTTAACTGAATTAGTGTGAGCTAGCTCACAGTTATTTAGCCTCCGGCTCACACATTTTTGTCTACGCTCAGGAAGGAGGGCTCCAGAGCAGTGTTCCCTCTTAACTGAATTAGTGTGAGCTAGCTCACAGTTATTTAGCCTCCGGCTCACACATTTTTGTCTACGCTCAGGAAGGAGGGCTCCAGAGCAGTGTTCCCTCTTAACTGAATTAGTGTGAGCTAGCTCACAGTTATTTAGCCTCCGGCTCACACATTTTTGTCTACGCTCAGGAAGGAGGGCTCCAGAGCAGTGTTCCCTCTTAACTGAATTAGTGTGAGCTAGCTCACAGTTATTTAGCCTCCGGCTCACACATTTTTGTCTACGCTCAGGAAGGAGGGCTCCAGAGCAGTGTTCCCTCTTAACTGAATTAGTGTGAGCTAGCTCACAGTTATTTAGCCTCCGGCTCACACATTTTTGTCTTGGCTCAGGAAGGACGGGGCTCCAGACTAGTCCTGCCCTGATTTGCAAGTGCTCTTCAGCGCCAGAAGGTTCTTCTGCAACCAGCAGGTCAGGCGCCAAGTTTGTTTTCAAGTAATACTCTTTGGGGTGGGGGTCTTCACGGGCAAGTTCTCCACCTAGTGGCCAGTGATTTCGCTTACCTGGATTTGCCAGCCGGTCACCGTGTTGGTCCAAAGCAGCAGAACAAAGTTTCAGCGCAGCCAGGGGCGGATCAACCATGAAGCAAATGAAGCACGTGCTTAGGGCGCCAGGGCCAAAGGGGGCACCGCAAAATTGGGGAAAAGTTGAAAAGCTTAGTTTGTACAGTCTATTGTGCTATCCTATGAATAAGTTTCTGTATTGCTGCAACCTGCATTGTCTATCTGGTCAGACAGGTCAACCACTAAAATGGAGTGGGGGTCAGTGTGGAAAGGAGGGAAGCCGCAAGATTGGGTCAGTGCTTCGGGCACCCCTGAGCCTTCATCTGCCCCTGAGCCCAGCGGCACCTTTAAGACCAACAAAGGTTAATTCGGGGTATATGCTTTGGTGTGCAGGCACACTTCTCCAAGTACCAGAAGACGTGTGCTTGCACACGACAGCTTATACCTTGAATAAAACTCGGTTGGTCTTAAAGCCGCCACGGAACTCAAACAAAATTAGGGGGTGGCTGGCACACACCCACCCACACACCCATCTTCATTGCCCAGGCCTAGGGAATGGGACTTGAACTCGAGCTGTCTCGGAGGTCGAGGGGCTGCGGGGTCTTCTTTGGGGAAAACTGGGTGGCCCCGTCGCGTGTTCTCAGCCAGGTGCGCTGCGGACAAGGTGGCTTCGACCTCCAGAGGCCCTGGGGTGAGAGGAGATGAACCTGAGAAGGAATAAGGTGCCCAGGGCCACCCCAGCGGCATTATTGGACCCGGAATTGCTGGCCAGCGACAAATAAGAACTGTCCTCCTGGGTCCGGGTGGGGGGCTGGAGCGCATGGCATGGGGCCCCTTCCAGGCCCGCCCCCAGCGAGAGATCCCCGGGGGCCTTTTTGCAAAACAACCCAAGAGGGAGCAGGAGTGTAGGACAGGGGAAGAGAATGGGATTTCTGACAATATATATATAAAGGGTCATTTCATTTCATAGAAAAAGAGGTGCAGGAGCTCATTAGCATAACTCATTCGCATAACTTATTTGCATATGCCACACCCCCTGGCATCACCGGAAGTGTGTCAGAAGGCAACACCCACCGCTCAGGCTCCACTGGACTGTTTTGGATTGCTAGCTATGGGGGGGGGGGAACGTGCAGATCTGTCCTCGCAGAGGAGGGAGAGCTTGTACCTGAAGGTGGGCCAGGGGGCTCTGCAACTTACATGGCTGCTTCTGTGGCCCAACTGCTGGGAGCAGGGGCCGGGGCTTGTTGCATGTGCCCACCCCCTGGGCTCCTTACTGCCGGAGCTCCGCTCCTGTGTGCTCCCGCAGAAAATGACCCCTGGCGGCTGAGAGAGCTCTCTTGAGAACTGCCCTTGAGAGAACAGCTCTGAGAGAACTGTGGCTTGCCCATGGTCATCCAGCAGCTGCCAGTGCAGGAATGGGGAATCAAACCCAGTTCTCCCAGATTAGCGTCGGTGCACTTAACCACCACACCAAAAGCAGGAATCCTCCGCATTGCCCTCCCCGAAAAAGTGGATGGGGCGGGTCTCAGGTCTCATCTGCCCTGAAAAGCCGCGCAGCAGGCAGCCATTCAACCGGTCCGGGCTTTCCTGCTGGATGTATTAAAGGCAAAGGGGGGCAGGAGCAAGTGCGAATCGGCTCCCCGCAGGGCACTCTCAGATGGGCAGGAACAATTAAATTAAACCCAGGGGCAGATTAACCATGATGAAGACTAAGCACGTGCTTAGGGCACCAGGGCCAAAGGGCCCACCACAAAGTTGGGGAAAGAGGGGGGGGGGGGGAAAGAATGAAGATTTGTAAAAAAAAAAAATTAAAAAGTGATAAAATTGATAAAACAAGTGCAAATTGATCATGGTGCACCCTGGGGTTATCTTTTATTTTTTGTTGGTGGGGTGCAGTGCCATAGGCTTAGTTTGTACAGTATATTGCAGGTATGTCCAACAGGTAGATCGAGATCTACCAGTAGATCGCGGAGGGGTCAGAGGTAGATCACCAGCCCCACAGTTAAAATCTCTCCTTATATATAATTGAATAGTGGGTGCCAAAGTTCTAAAATGCACTCCTTTAGTGTATGGACGCTTGAACTGTCAATCAGAAGACGCTGGCTGGGTTGACTGGCTGCTTTGTGCAGTCCTGCCCAGTGTTTCAAGGTCTTTTGCATATGGAAGCTGATTGGACTTCACTGCATTCCACACCTCAAACTCACCCCCCTCCCCGCAAGGCAGTTGGAATGTCAGTTGCATATGGAACCTTCAAGGTCTTTTGCATATGGAAGCTGATTGGACTTCACTGCATTCCACACCTCAAACTCACCATAGGGTTGGCAACTCCAGGTTGGAAACTTCCAGGATATTTTGGGGATGAAGCCTGCTGAGGGTGGGGTCTGAGGAGGAGGAGGAGGAAGAGGGGGACCTCAGACAGATACAATGCCATACTCCCCACCCTCCAAACAAGCTGTTGCCAGTCTCCAGGTGACAGCTGGAGAGCTCTTAAAGCTCTGGTGCTACTTCAAAGTGCTGCAATTTATTGACAGAGTAGTGTTTTGGCAAATCTTTAGGAATTGTTTGGTGCATTTACGATGGGGCACCCACCCAGAGCCTCTGGCATTTTCTCACTCTGCTGACATCAAAACCAATTTAAGGCAAAATAAGAGGCTACTGAGAGGGGAGGAAATAAAGTTGCCAGCTTTAGGTATGGAAATTCCTGGAGATTTGAGGAGTGGAGGCCGGAGAGGGGGACCTCAGACAGGTTACAGTGCCATAGACTCCACCCTCCAACCCAGCTATTTGCTCCTGGGGAACTATTGTTGCCAATCTTGGCCCAGCACCCATCACACCATTCTCTTCAACCCCCTGCTGTGCAGCAGACTTTCCCCTAGGGTTGCCAATCTCCAGGTGGGACCTGGAGATCTCCCACTGCTACAATTGATCTCCAGATGACAGAGATCAGTTCCCCTGAAGAAAATGTGGAAAGGAGGGCGGAGGCACCAAGACTGGTCAGTGCTTAGGACACCAACTCCAGGCTGGCAAATTCCTGGGGATTTGAGGGGTGGAGCCTGGAGAGGGTGGGGTTTGCGGAGGGGTGGGACATCAGACAGGTAGAATGCCATAGACTCCACCCTCCAAACCAGCCATTTCGTCCTGGGTAACAATTGTTGCCAATTTCCAGGTGAGGGCTACAGATCACTCAAAATTACAACTGCTCTTCAGGGAGCAGAGATCAGTTCCTCTGGAGAAAACAGTGGACTCTGTCATTATACCCTGCTGAGGTCACCACAGCAAAATGACACTGTTTGCCCAAAGCCAGAGCACTCCCCCAGAGCCTCTTTCTAGATCTCGTTGTATTTATTTCCACAACAGGCTTTACTGCTAGTAAAGTTATAACTCAATAAAAAATAAAAAATGTTTGCAGTTCTTTCTGGATCTTCCTCTCGCTGTTTTGTTTTTGCTTATTTTGCTTACCAGTCAATGACAGAAGGTGCATAATAAATGGGGGGGAGGGGGCGGTGGAACCCAACTTTAGTGGGTTAAAATCTAATTTGAAACTAATTTGAAACTTTATTTTCATGGTGGTAGATCACCAGCATTTTTGGCCGGAAAAAATAGATCACTACCTGTTCGAAGTTGGACATGCCTGGTATATTGTGTTATCCTATGAATCAATTTTATCCTATGTTATCCTATGAATCAATTTTTGTATTGCTGCAACCTGCATTGTCTATCTGGTCAGAAAGGTCAACCACTAAAATGGACTGGGTCAGTGTTGTTGTACTCACCGCCTATGAAACCCTTTGTACTCTGCCACAGACTAACAGTCAGTTTAACTTAGTAGGTGCACTTAACACTTCCATGGTGCATATGTTAAGTGCCTTTGATGATTCTAATCACAGTAACAGTGTGTGCGCCTTGGTGTTTAGTCATGCCGGCCACATGACCACGGACACGTCTTCGGACAGCGCTGGCTCTTCGGCTTCGAAACGGAGATGAGCACCGCAACCCTAGAGTCGGATTCGACTGGCTTTCGAGCAAGGGAACCTTTACCTTTTACAGTGTGGAAAGTAGGGCGGGGGCACCAAGACTGGTCAGTGTTTAGGGCACCCGGGAGCCTTCATCCGCCCCTAATTAACCCCCCGCCGGGCTCGCCGTCTCCCGTTAACCGCCCGGGACTACAATTCCCAGGGGGCAGCGGGAGCGGGAGAGAAAGGAAAGAAGGGGGGGAAACGGCGGAGGGAAACCCGAGGCCTTCTGGGGGATGCAGTGCTCTCGACTGGTCGCAACGTCTGCAAGGGCGGAGGACTACGTTGCCCAGAATCCGCCCGGCGAAGGACGCAGGTCGGCGCTGGACGAGGCGGCTGCCGCGAAGGTCAGGCCGGGGGGGGGCCC